CACAGATTACTTTGTTTGGGGCATGTGTTACGCATATAACCAAATAGGTTCCCATGGCGCGCGATGTTTTCCGAGGCGGTGGCGGGTGGACAAAAGGTCAAAAGCGGTCAAACTAAAACTTGGCATGAGGGCATGAAAACCCTAAAAAAGACAATGGGTTACATAGGTTTCGTTAGGCTCCTGGGTGAGGACCCAGAAATCATGGTAACCGGCGGTTAGAGACCGTGTGTGATATGGCTAGGGGGTCGCAAGCAGTGGCGCACGTGCATCTACTCAATATTGTTGCGACCTCAGTTTGTGTTCATCTTTATTTTGACTCCGCTCTCAATATTCCAACATTCACTCTGCTTTTTCATCCAAGTGGGCCACTGAAGAGCAGCAGCCAAACCAGGAGTACGAAAGTACACGGGTACTGGTTGAAATACCTGAAACAGAAACTCGTAAACGTAAAGCAGAAATGACACACGCTGAACTTACAGTTTTAACTAGCTATCACGTCGACCGCAAAGGCGTTTCAGTCCTGCAACGTACGTTGCTGCTGGTGGATACTTGCTTGACTACGCAACCGACATTTGTCAAGCAACCACCTAAGTAGGAGAAACATCCCACTATAACTAATTCTTGATCATCAAGCATCAGAGCCGGGGTAGACGACACCCAATATCGTAGCATCATTTTGCACTTTGAAGGTGCAAATGGTTGTTAGAGAACTTGAAAATCTATCCAGAGCGCTTTGTGCATCAAGCAACGCATTCGAAGAGACCAACTGTATCGTCAGGGTACTTGAAATTACAGAGCTTTTCACCAGCTGCCCATTTAATACTTACAATTTCAAGAGCACTTAAAGCGTTCTCAAGAATTTAGTTTACGACGAAATCGAGCAGGACTGACGAAGTAGGGCACCTTGATGAACAACGCTGTTAGTTTCGAACGATCTGCACAGCTCGCCGTAGACCTTCACGATACCAAAAGTATGGAGGTACAGCGATCGCATACATAGTTCCACCACATCCCTTTGCGAAGAAGCGACCCTAGAACCGCTTCACGGTTAACTGAATCGAAGGCTAACTTTAGATTGAGGATGTTTAGCGAGATTCGAGAATTTCATGCAGGGTGAAAATTTGGTCCATACACCCGTGACCAGGTCGGAATCCCGCTTGCTGTTCTCTCTCTCGGCGGTTGTTTGCCCAATTCTCGCGCGATCCCTTCTTGAAGATCGGAAAGATCAACTAGTAATCCAGTCGACCAGATAGTCATCCTACTCCCCAATTTAAAAATAAAGGCAATAAGCCCATCAGATCCCACTGTCTTTCTTTTCTTTAACGCTTGAATATAGCTCCGTACTGCTAATTCTGCTGAAGGCGGATCAGCTGACTTGCACCTCCTATCAGCCCGATAGTACGACGACCAGTCAGCTTAGGTCTGAGATACTTCCTTGGGGCCGAAAACAGAAAGCCAATACCGCCAGTCAACTTTCATGATGGATATTCTTGCTGATGATCACGACCATTTTGCTGAGAATTCATGCACTTCTCAGATTCATATCATGCGTTACGCCCCCCACCGCACACACAAACTAGACAATATACCGAATGCATTACAGGTGTGATAAAAAACCAGTAATACTTAGTCGAGAATCGAACACTACATTTACTGGAAAACTGTGATCAGGCGCGGTCTGATTACTTAAACTGTCCAGAGAACGTTAGTGTCCACGTGCTCGAGGAACAACGAATCCCACGTATTGCTTGTCTCTAATGCTCTCTTAGTAATCGCAGCACGAAGATGGGTGGAAACAATGTGGAACGCCGTTTACACGAGAAACGGTTCAAACGGAGTTTAAGAGACGGAAGTGACTAGCACTTTTGTTATTTTCGAAGTGGAATTAGTCGTACAGAAGCAACAAGCAGCCCAGAAATGCTCATCTGCCCCCTGAATATATACATTCACATAAGATTGTGAGGGCGTGTTACTTTCCAAGTGCTAGCGTCGAGATCCGAAGAGCTAATCGGTTACAGATGATAAACTACCAGATCTCATCTAGTTTGACACATCAGAATAGTTAACCACAGTAATATTGTTGGATGTGAGATTATATATCCCCTAAAGACGACTGTGATCAACGAGCTGAAGAAAGTTAGCATCCTTTGTTAATGAATGAATGGAGATAATGGAAAGTATTTGTTGAAAGAAGAGATCAGTTCGATCAATACATGGTCACAGATACGCGAACGCTGGTCGATAGATAGGCTACGTCAATGCGATTCATAACTACTTCAGTCTATCACTTTTACTCCGGGAACTAACCGTCTTCCTTGCCCTGTTTACATGCAAAGCACCAATAACAGTAAGGTTGTGTTTTCCGTTGTGTGACACATGATGGAATGCGGTAAGCAGTCAGCCCAGTGTGATCGATTATTAATGACGCGATAGCTTAATTTCACCGCAATGCAATTTAATCTAATTTTTTGGAGTTAACCTCTATTAAAGGGTCAATAATTCCATATGGCCTGAAAACGGCCGGTTGTGGAGCAGAACAGGATAATGCGGACATAAAACCTTTTTTTTCTCGAATTGATACAAAACAATGGGATTGAACAAGGGTGCGCGGGAGAGGAGTTTGGCGGAAACATATGAACCGCGGGGCGCATATGTACCTGTTTGTCTGACCGGACCGGTGTAAATGCACACAGACAACCAAAAAAGGAAGTCGCCCGGTGGAACAGGAGGGAGGTTCATCCATATAACAAACTACGTGTCAAGTGCACTGAGTCACACACTTGATGATGCGGGTGGTTGTCAGTAGATAAGTCGAATATCATTGACCCCTCCCTCGTCTAAACCGCGTTAGATACGGGGATGTTGACGGCGGCATTTGTGCTTGAAGCAGCTGCAGCAGCCGCAGCGGCCGCAGCAGCGGCAACATGTGTGTAGTCTCCGGTGGCACCGGCCGCAGCTCCATAATAGTAGCTCGCATAGGGATCCGCGGTAGCCGCGGTAGCCCAGGCGGCACCAGCCAAATTCGGATCAGTCTAAAATGTAAAGTAGGAGTGAAAGACCGTTGACGCCAGACAAAAGTGGAAAAAAGCGTAGTTAAGAACACCGAAAAATGACATGAAAAACTCCACTTCATTTGTAAAAAGGAACAATATAGGAATGAGTCTTACGCCAATATCCGTGACAGATAAGTACCAGATCAAGAAATAGTACAGGACGTCTCCTAATTAGTGTCGGTAGGGTCACCCATTTTTCGCTACTGCATACTCCATGCGCAAACCTTAGACGCAATTTCAGTCACGCACGTGGGCCGGTTGCGATGATGTCACATTGCAAGTTGCCCTGAACCAATAAAGTAGAACAATGCAATATCTGACTGATTGTCGAGCATAGTTGTCAAAAACGTTTTCGCGCGTGCGCTATCCTTCATCGGACCGTTGGGTTTTATCTCAGAATGAAGATATCCGAATGTTTGTGCTTTTTCACCAGTTGTTCGTTAACCTGCATGGTTTACACTAAAAGATGTAATACAGTTGAGAACATATTGGCTTTCAGACAGTTAATCTTTGCTGATTAAAGGTCGCTCGATGTCGATTTGAATGAAAAAATGCGATTTTTCGTCTAATAAACAACTAATCGAGTACAGTGATGTAGGGATCTAAATTTCTTCAGGAGAAAATGAATTAATCGATATCCGAAAACGAACGAGAATTGTTAAAACTCAAACGAAAGTAATTGACTTGTGAATATGGTAAGCGTGAGCAATGTAGAAAAGGAGGAGCAGTAAGCGGAGAAACCATGCTGAACGTACTAATCCAGCAGCACCGGGAACCAATCCGATCCCAGGAGCCATCATGGGAATGTTTGTCGGAACAGGGGGAGGAAGCCCACCGGTATTGCCCAAAGCTGCAGCTAATGGCTCATAGCCACCGGCAGTATAGTAGCCAGCCGAAGTGGACGGATCTGGCGCGGGAGTTCCAACCAAAGCAGCCGCTTCCAACACAGCCTGATCAGTATTCAGTACACGATTGCGCGCAACTGGACCAGCCGAGACCAGACTTTCCCCGGTCCCACTGGCAGAGGAAGCGGCAACCGCATGCAACCTAACCGACGCAGTGGGCATATTCAACAGGTCAGGAAGCGGATAGCCTGGAGCCATGCGACTTGCTCCACGAGCTGCAGCTGCCGCCTGTAAACCGTTATTCACCGCCTCGCACAAACCGACATACTCATCGTACGCCACACTCAATCTGGAATGGCAAGCGAGGATAAAGATCAATGGTAGAGGAAACATTACAGTGAGGAGAATTCTATGTGGCCAATTGACAAAGTATTTGGGGAGCACAGATTCATTAAGTTTTCTGTACGTTTTGGTTAATCGCAGCAGAACGGACATGCCCCAAGTTTCGAGGTAGGGATGTAGTCTAGAGAGAGAAAAGGTTGTTGATATCGATGGTGAAAAATGAATGGTATTGTATTTGCAATTATTGGAATCTTCAGTGTGGATAAAAATCGCGGTACAACGACCTTTGTATCGAAGGAAATTTGTTTATTTGTGGACGCAATGCTGATAGATTTATCGCATCAAAGATTATTTGTTGGTGAATTACTAACCGAAACCATCAGCTAGCTGAAACCTGGTTCACAACGAGGCGAAGCGGTATGTGGAAACCGTTGTCTTTGGGCAGGTTTTCAGTCACTCAGATTACGAACCCTTCAAGTGTGGTTCACAGATTCCTCGTGTCCGACATAACCTATCGCTAATGGCGACCTTGGTGTCCGGGAGCACGTTCGTACAACTCTTCTTAGTTGGTCTGGAATTGGGGCTTTCTAGCCTCCTTAAAGGTAGTAGCCTGACAGTCTGATCAGAAGTTCATTTTATTAAGGCAGTAAGTACGGCGTCTCAGCAAATGCTTTAGGACTCGCATCCCGAGAGAGTTTAATGAGGAAGAGAACAAGGATTGACATCAGCTAAAAGTCAGAATATACAGAAATATTCGACACGGAAACGAGAGCTCTTGGACATGATTGGTAGCACGAATAAGGAAAATTGTCCTATCACGTCAATTTTTTACTATTGCCCCTCACGAAATAACAAAGTATTTGGCGTCCAAATGGGGTAAAAAAAGAAACTCATGGGATTGCACCTCCGAACCGTACAACACGACTTTGTGATAAGCCATGTTTGAATAAACGCCCAGAGCTTAGCAGCCTGTGCATCGTTGTTCCATTTAGGTGAACTAACAGGAAGTATTCTGTCAACACATTATTGAATAAATCGTACACAGTCCCTCTCAATACTTAGTAAGGAAAATAGTTTACTTATCGCAGAACAACCAAGCATGGGCACAGTTTACTTTTGCAATGATTGGGAAATCATTGTTCCCGGATTGCGTAAGAATGCGATCGGAAGATGTGTTTAATGGTCATTAAATTTTCTCTATTACACGTACGATCTGTTGTCCAAAGTGTGATCCACCGCGATTAACTGCTGAACATGGATATGGATAAAACGAATACCTAATTAAAATGATCTTGACAAGAACAGACCACTCATTGGGCGAACTCGAACATCATCATCATCAATGTACAGCGAAATTCAGTGAAGCGAACTTCACTGATCGTTACCAAGCTCGCAATGCATTCAAGGTTAGTGGTAAAATTTAAGGTGGACAGGGATTCGATCTATTTTGAGGGAGGGAGAAGAAGATGAGCCACTGTGGTCAACATACAGAGTACGCAATCGAACTCTGCATACATANGAGGGCACCCTTGACGAACGCCGCTGCTGGTGACGAACAGCCTACTTAGTGTATTATAGACCCTTACACGATCGAAGTTATGTGAGTACAGTGACCTCAGTAGGTTAACGTACTTCTGGGGCATTTCGTTTCGAAGAACGGAGCCCATTAGTGCTTCGCGGTCAACTGAGTCGAAGGCTCCTTTCAGGTCAAGGAACACAGCGATCGTTGGCCGACGGTGAGTATGACGCAGCTCAAGGGTCTGACGCAACGTAAAAATCTGATCAATACATTCACAGGCAGGCCGGAATCCGGCTTGCTGTTCACGGATGTTGGTCTCTCTTAAATGCATCAGACGTCGAAGTATA